GGTGTTCCCCATCTGCAGAAGATTCCCTGGAGTACGTCCAGCCTCAGCTCCCACTCGTGGTCCGTGGGAAAGCATCTGCTGAGGGAATCGGCAATGACATTGGCTATGCCAGGTAAGTATGACGCTGTTATGCTTATGTTGTTCTGTATGCACCAGTTCCAATATCGTACCGCTTCTGCGCATAGGGAACGTGATCTTGCCCCTCCCTGCCTGTTTATATAGTACATCGCCGCTACGTTGTCTGTCAACACCCTGACTGTTTTGCCTCTCAGACTGGGGAGGAAGTGTCTGCATGCCAAAAAGATCGCCCTCAACTCTAGCTGGTTGATATGAAGACGCCTCTCGGTGTGAGACCATTGCCCCTGGATGCGCTCCCCGTTCATGTGAGCACCCCATCCGATGAGTGAAGCGTCCGATGTTAATTGAACCGATGGCTGAGGTTGGTGAAACGGTACTCCCGTGAGGATGTTTAATGGGCTCGTCCACCATCGGAGGGACCTGTGTACGTGGGATGGAGGAGTAACCAACTTGCGTATGTCGTGTCTCATGGGGACATACACCGTTGACAGCCAGTGCTGTAAGTTCCTTAAATGGAGACGTGCATGCGGGACTACAAAGGTGGCCGCCGCCATGTGGCCGAGCAATCGCAGGCAAGTATGTGCTGAGATTGTTGTGGTTTTTTGGAGAAGATTGACCAGGTCTTTTATTGCCTGGAATCTGTCCGTGGGCAGGTATGCTCTCGCCGTGCAGGAGTCGAGAACCGCTCCTATGAACTTTATGTTTTGTGTTGGAATTAGCGTGGACTTTTGTTCGTTTATTATCAACCCGAGTGAGTTGAAAGTCTCTATGACTTTTGAAAGCATTCGAGTTGTCTCTTGTGCCGTCCTTCCCTTTATGAGACAGTCGTCCAGGTAAGGGAATATGATGACTCCGAGACGACGAAGATGGGCGGCGACAACGGCAAGCGTCTTTGAAAAGACTCTTGGAGCTGAAGCCAGCCCGAACGGGAGGACACAGTATTGAAAGTGCTCGTTGTTTATAACAAATCGCAGGAAACGTCTGTGCGCCGGGTGTATGGCCACATGAAAGTAGGCGTCTTGGAGGTCGAGGGCTACGAACCAGTCGTCGGTGTCTAGAGAAGGGATTATTGTAGTCAGAGTCACCATCTTGAACCGCTGCTTTCGCAGATAACGGTTTAACTCCCGTAGATCGAGTATGGGTCTCCAACCCCCTGTTTTCTTTTGAGTCAGGAAGTACCTTGAATAAAATCCTTTTCCCCTGAATTGGTCTGGGACCCTTTCTATTGCTCCGATTTCCAACAGGCGATAGGCCTCCTGTTTTAGGAGGGCCTCGTGAGAAGGGTCCCTGAAAAGGGACGGGGTGGGAGGGGTAGGAGGAGGGAGGGATGTAAATGGGATGGTGAGTCCGAATTTTATCACTTCCAACACCCATCTGTCCGATGATATGGCCACCCACTGATGGTAGTAGGGTCGCAACCGATGTTTGAAGATGGGAGTGGTGCCTCTGACTGTTACCGGAACGACCGGCGTGCCCTTGACCTGAAAGTCAAACTTGCTGCTTGGGTGCTCCTGCGTTATTCACCCTGGGTGGCTGAGGGCGTCTGCGCTGTGTCCTTTGCTTGGACCGGTTCTGATCGTATGGACGGTTTTGTTGTCTGCGGAACTGGTAATCGTAACGTCTTTGGAATGGGAAATAGCGTTTACGACGGAAAGGTGGAACATACATCCCGAGGGTACGTAAGGTAGCCCGGGAATCTTTACCCGTGTGGAGCACCTCGTCCGTCTTCTCCGCAAACAGCTTGATTCTGTCGAACGGAAGATCCTCGACCTTAGACTGTAATTCTTTCGGTACGGCAGCGGTCGCAAGCCATGAAGCTCTTCTCATGGAAACTGCTGTTGCGATTGATCGAGCCGCTGTGTCCGCCACATCCATGGCGATTTGCAAGCCTGCTCTGGCACATGCGTAGCCTTCCTGCAGTATAGCTCGGAGAAGTACTTTGTCCGTTTCGGAAATTCGCTGAGCAATTTCCGACAATTTTGCAATGTTGTCAAAACTATGATTGGAGAGCAACGCTGAGTAATTTGCAATCCGGAGGAGAAGAGTTGAAGAGGAGTACACTTTCCTGCCGAATATGTCCAATCTCTTTGCGTCCTTGTCTGCTGCCGAGTTTCTTACTTGCGGGTTCTTAGCTCTTTGAAGAGCTGCATCCACAACCAACGAGTTTGGCTGAGGGTGAGTGAAAAGGAACTCAGCACCCTTCGAAGATATGAAGTATCTCTTTTCTGCTCGCTTGCAGGATGGAGTAGTGGAAGCCGGCGTCTTCCAAATTTCTGTGGCTGGTTCCAGAATTGCCTCGTCCAGCGGTAAAGCTACCTTGGATTGCTGTCTAGGGTGCAAATTCTTCAGTAATTTATATTGCTTCACGTTCACGTCCGCTAACTGAACCTCCTGTGATTGTGCTACCCTTTTAAAGAGGTCCTGAAATTCTCTGGTGTCATCTGGTGGTGAGGAGTCCATAGCAAAAACCGCGTCATCGGGGAAAGAAGACTGAGCATCCTGCGATGAAGCTTGCGGAGGCCGATCATCTGTGTCCGATATCTGGCCCTCTTCAGGCTCCGACAGGACCGAAATTGAGGTGGCACTAGGAGGTGGTCTGGGTGACTGCGAGCGCCGATGCTCAGAGGCCGGTTGTGAATGGCGTCTGTAAGATGACTGACGGCAACAACACGAACACGAGTGGGACGGTGATCTGTCCTGCCTCCCCGTGTAATAACCCCTGTGGTAACGATAAACAGAATCAGGGGATGGTCTCCTGGATGCATATCTGCTACCATGTCTAGTATGGTGAGACCTTGGAGGAGAGTAACTCGGAGAACGAGATGTGTTTCTGTAATAGTGGGAAGATCTTCGTTGCGGGGAACGTGAGGACCTATGTCTTGGGTAGTAAGGTACTCTCCCCGATCCCGAATACTGAGGTGGGGAAGGGTATGTTGAATGCACAGGAGAGGGAGACAAGGAATGATCCCTAGGGATCGACTTCCCAGATGCCCGTGCATGGACTGATGAATGCCCTTTAGCACTTGCAGAGTGTCGTGCTGTGCTGCGATAAACCTCCCTAACAGATGGGGAGCGTGACTCATGAGAAGAAGGAGAGGCTGTTTGCAGTCTAGCTGATTGCGATGACTCTCTCGGTGCCGATGCAGATGACTCCTGCGGCACCGGGTGTGTTGCGGGGCCGCTGACAGGTTCCGGTGCCGGCTGCCTTGACGGAACCGGGTCCTCGCTCTGCGGTGCCGGGTTCTCCCGGTGCCGTCTGTCTGGTGCCGAAGGAGCGCGTTCCCGCGGAACGGCAAGCGGCACCGCTTCGTTGACCGCTTGGGCAGCCGACTCCGTTGCTGACCCCAGCATGTCCCGCCGTTCCGGGGACGATGACTTATCCGGCGGCGCTGTTAGCCGAGGCCGCTTACTCCCCGAAGGAGTCGGATCCCGCTCGTGCTCCCTATGGAGAGGGGAGACTGGCGGTGGGGCAGACGCAGTGCGATGCTTGCCCTGTTTTGCAGAGCGCGGCTGAGAAATTGACTTAGCCGCGGAGCGGCTGTTGTCCGATCCCCGGTCTCCCTGATTCACCGGGGGGAGAGGGACCGCTGGCAGGGATCGGGCAGGGGAGGCTTTTTTCTTTTTCGCTCCGGCTGCTGCAGGAGATATTGCCCTTCTTTTTGGGGTTTGTGAGGACTCCTGCTGCAGAGGGTTTGATGGCTGAAGAGCCTTGTCGCAGAGCAGGAGTTTGAGGCGGAGATCCCTGTCTCGTCTTGCCCTCGGAGTCAATTTAGAACAGTGGGCACACTTGCTTGGGATATGAGACTCCCCCAAGCAACGAAAACAGAGACTATGCCCATCAGACGCAGGCATTGCCTCTTTACATTGTCCGCACCGCTTAAAGCCGGGTGATCCGGACATGGCGGTGAAACTGACCAGTAAAAAGCGCTTCAGCGCGCAACTGACTAACTATGTTCTGTTTCCTTTCTAACTAACTAAACAAAGACTAATAACTAACTAACTACAGGAAAGGTCAAACTATTTACAGACTAATGGTTTTTTTTTTTTTTTTTTTTT